TCTCAGTTTTGCCACACAAAAGGTTGTAGTCCTCTTCGTCTTCTCTGTAAGTACTCATTTAAATGGAATAGCTTTCTCCTTCTGTTGCAGAAATAGGAGGTAAAGCTGAAAACAACGAGGTGACCTCACTACTTTGTCTGTAAGTAGAAGACGTTGAACAAGTTTACCAAAACAAATACATGGAACACTTCTAATCACTTGTTCATGCTCTGCTAACAGATGTTGCAGTAGTCCATTTAAAACTAGGAATTTGAAACTTTTTTCTTTACAAATAAGATTACCATAGGGTAAACGTATCCAGAGTAGCAGCATATTTTTAATAATACATCAGTCCTTTAGAAAGTTTACAGTAAGAACAAGTGATTATGTTTGCCTCCCAAGATATGTATTGAGCAGAGGGTCAAGAGAAAGCTACTGCATTTAAATGATTGATATTTGGAGTACAATTCTGCCTGCAATGAAAATGAGCAGAACCATTCAAGTTATAGTTAGAAATGGTTATGTACACAATTCCTCACATTAAAACATAGTCATTAGTGTAGGAAGGGAACAGCCAATTATTTTTCAACAAATGTTGTGGATCTTTGCAATATTGTAGTGGTTTCTTTTTCATCATCAGATTGTTTATTCAGCTTCATCATTATTTTAATATCTAAGAGCATAGTTGTGGCCAGCACCTCCTGTTCCAACAAAGCTATTCCAATAAAGAACAAAAGGGCAACTTCATCCCTTCTACATATAAATTATCTAAGAATGAGTGAGAGACAGCTATAGAAACAGCTATAAAAAGGGAGGGTACAAGGCAACTGTGACCCACAAAATTAAATGGCTTCCCTTGGGGAAGTTAGTTCACTTTTTGGGCTTCAAGAAATTTCGTTCAACAAGAAGGAGACTTTGTTGTACACTCTATTGCTTATTACACATTCTATGGATTAAATATTTTACTATTTGTTTACTGATGGAAACAAAAAAAACCAAAACAAAACAAAAACTTGGATGAAATTCTGACTCACTGGCAAAATTCCTGCTGACTATATTAATGCTAAGATTTTACTCCTAACTCTCAAGATGCATGTGCTGTGTGAGTGCAGAGAACACCCCAGAGCTGCCTCACAAAGTGGTCTCTGGTGTTGAAATACCCTGTGTAGAAGCACTGTCTTGTTCCTTGTGTTCAGTCCTCTCGAGAATTTTCAAGTGACGTGTAGTTCTAAAGTGTTGTTTTGCAGAGAGCAGCGGAGAGAGCACAGACAGCTTTCTAGGAAATTAGTCTTTGGCTCAAGAAAGAAAAATAAATTGGCCAAAGGATGTTCATTTCAAGTTGCCAGTGGAAGTGTGGTGACATACTTTAACTCTATTGCAGCTCAGTAAGACCCAATTGAGGAGTGGGAGGGTTTCCATGATGGACCAAATCAGTGATATGGAGCTTTGAGCGGATCTTTATACTGTATGGAAGGAAGGTGATTTCTTTCCCAACTACTTACAACCTAGCAAATGAAGATTTGCTATCTCCAGGGAGAGAATAAGCATAGTTTGGCAGTGGGAGTTTGCATGATCAGCATTTAAGGATGAGTCACCTTCTCGGACCTTAACCCACTGAGTATGGAAGTCTTTCTCCTTTTTCCCTCTTACAATTTTGTGTTCATGTCAAGCAGCTCTCTCTGATGTGTTTAATAGGAACACTGGATTGTCCATAATTTCAGAGTTTATAGTTTTGTTTATCACTTTGGGTTTTTTTAAACCCAAAATTAGCAAAATTACCTTGAGCTTTTTAATTTCTCCTCATACAAAAACTGTCCCTCTTGCTTTCTAGTTACTTCAGTTTCTCTTTTTAGAGTATTTTTGTATTTCTTTATATGCTATTTATCTATGTACAACAACGAAGCCTCGTGGGTTCAAAAATCTAAATGTCTTTGCCCTGTTCTCTTGCATACCCAAAACAGGGGACTGAACTGAGATACAAATTATTACAAGTGTGGACTCAAGATTAGATTTCTTTTGAAAGGGCTGAACTAATGGTACATTCTCTGACAATTTAGAAGACTTTAGGTCATTACGAGACAAGTTTTTCTACTTCAGCTTATATTAGTTGCTTGCCTTTTTATAGAATCATAGGATCATTTGGGTTATATAGGACCTTAAAGATCATCTATGCCCACCATGTGCAGGGACATCTTAGTACCAGATTAATCAGAGTCCCATCCAACCCGGCCTTGAACACTTCCAGGGATGGGGCATCAACAGTTTCTCTGGGCAACCTGTTTCAGAGTCTCACCATCCTCTCAGTAAATAACTTCTTCCTAATATCTAATCTAAACCTTCCCACTTTCAGCTTAAAGCCATTCCCCCTTGTCCTATCCCTTCATCCCAGTGCAAAAAGTCTCTTTCCATCTTTCTTGCAGGCTCACTTCAGGTACTGGAAGACTCTATAAAGTCTCCCTAATGCCTTCTCTTCTTCTGTTGTTAATCTAGAGCCAGTCCACCTTTTCTTCTAGGAATGTAAAATATAATAAAATAAGGAAGGTGAACCACTTCGACTTCTTCCTTGAAATACAAATGATTTACATAGCAGTAGGGGACTCTGTACAAAGGCTTTTCATCAGCCTGCTGATGAAGAAATAGAGGAAATTGAAAGATGCTGCATATGCTCACCTGCCCCTTATTTCTTAGCCAGTAGTTATTTTCTTTCTCTTTGTCTCTATTTTTTTTATGTTTGCCAAAAATTTATTCTGTCCAAAAAGTGGTCAAGAGTAAAAAGATAACAGAAAACAGAGTGTACTATACATGACAAACCCATGACATTTTAACTGAGTTTGAAAGAACACTCTGAAACTTTACCAGTCAAATGCTTCAGATGATTCCTGATAACCAGAAAATGAAGCTGAGAAGAAGTGAACTAGAAATACTCTCAATGTCCAAGGCAGGGGCTGTGCCTCATTTGAGAGGCTTTTAATAGTGAAAACCTAATCCAGTCTTCACATTTCTTTCAAACACCTAGTATGCTATTTTGCAAGGCAATTTAGTACACAAAAATATGCTGTGTGGAAATCAGGATCTCGGCACTGTTTGTGCAAATACAGTACACATTTAGATTATTGTGGGAGTGCAGCCAGGTCACTTGGGAGCAAGCATGCAAACCTCATGTTCAGCCTCCTGGCAGGAGCACTCATGCCAGAAGCATGATTAATCCCAGCAAAGGAGGGTGTTTATGGGGTGTCACAGTCCTGGCAGAGCAGCCCCTTATGGATACACACCAGGCAGCTGTGTTTGGACCCACATGCTGGATCCATGTGCTCCTCTGCTCCCCTGGGCCTGGGCAGGCTCCAAACGCCCACTGTGGCCCCAGCCTTTCAGCCCACTCCCCAGGCGGACTTTTATGCTTGTACCTTCTCTTTAAGCCCTCTTTTTGGGACCACTGCTGTACTACAGGGATTATAAAGGTTTTTTTGTACACTGGCCACATGCAGCTAGTTAACTAAATGGCAGAGATTCAAAGCAGAAGAAATGTCTATGCACTGGTTTCTTCACCTTGGGCCCTGGAGCATATCCTGAGCTTTGGATGGTGCCATATCAGTCCTATGTCCCCTCTCTTTTACCCTCATGCTCCAGCTTAGCCTTATCTTCCCTAGTTACACACTCATCTCTCACTCCTCCAAGAAACTCCAGTAATTTTTCAGAGCTGAAGTCTAAGCGTTCTTTGGCTTGAAAACCATTCCTTCATAGCATGCTTCGTCTCTCTTTTGTCCTCATACTGGCATGCTTTGACTTTGTTCTGGGAGCTTTTCTGAACAGGTGTAAAATAGATCTTCTCTGTGTTGAACATCACCTATCTTTCTGTCCCTTAGGTGGTTCTACTTGAATGGAGGATGATTTGTGTTAAGGGTTCTTATTGGTCTCTGTTGCACTTCTTCACCTTCAATCTTGGAAGTACCTCACCCACTACACATTCACAAAAGCTTGGTTCAGTGGTCTAGCAATTTCATAAAATTTACTAAATTTTGTCCTTCTCACTAAGAGAAATTTCTCAAACTAGCAGAGTCAGGGCATGAATTACTGTCCTAGTCAATGGTTAGCCTTTTCATTCTGCAGGCTAATGAAATTAAAATTGAATTCAGTCTTAGAAATCATTATTAGCGTGTAATTCAGAAAATATTTGTGACATGGGCCACCTTATGCTTTGATAAGTTTATTTTTGACTTTGCCTGTTATTTCATACCTCTGTTTCATAGCCATTTGAGATTTATGAGTTTGAGTTTGCATTTGTCTTTAAAGAGCTGTGATGGGCTGCATGGGCAATTTTACCACATTCTGTTCCCGCCTTTATACCTGCAAGTCACTACAACTATCCTGCACCTAAACACTCCACACAGGGTATTCAAAATATACATCTAATTCCACAATCTACAGCCTACTTGGGTATCCCTTAAGCAACTAAGATATACTAGGATTTGTGTGCACTTATAACATAGCAGTGAGATATTCTTTATCCAGAGCTCCAGTAGGTTATATTGTCGGTACCTTGATTATTGCTGAGGCAAGCTTGTTTTGCTATTTTGCTGCGGAGAAAGCAGCAGTTACAAATCAGGCATGTAATTGAGCAGGCAAGGCATATAAAGCAGATAGTGTTTAAGTTCATTTGTCATGTTCCAAACATTGCAGAACTTAAGAATTGAAATCGTCTCTTCTTACAGAGCTGTTATCCTTTTAGTCCAGGCAGTGAACAATGTCAGCTCCTGTGCAGAATAAAGTAATGAAACTCATACTGCACCTGGAAACTATTCATAGTCTTTGCCTTTGTGTAAACCCTTTTATTGACCTTGTGACCTCAAATATGAAGAGCTGCCACACACATTCACTCTGGCTATAGATACTCCTGAGGTCCTATTTCAAATTTTTTGCTGTTTTTGTGGGCTGTGTAATACCTATGCTGAATTGTTCTTCCCCATGTTCCTCTCCTTCACTTTCTATCTGAGTCTCAGCCAATATTTCACTCCTCTCCACACATGGATCTCATCAACACAGGAGGGAAAATGGTAGGAGAATGTCTGTTAGGTGAAGGGCTTTTCCAGAAAAAAAAGGGAGAGATCTGAATACTTGGCTTCCTCTAATGATGTGGGCAGGAATTCTGTCCAGCAATAGGGCAAATCCCGCTGGATACTGTACATGCTGCCTCACATCTTTCCAGATCTGATGTGTTACAATAGTATATTTGTGAGTTAAGATACTTGTTTCTTGTGTTCTAGTACTATGATTGGTATTTGTTTTTTTCTGTTCTAGTGCTAAGGATATTTTATTTTGTTAGGTCTGGGATGAAACACTTGCCAAATCTGCAGAGGCTTGGGCTGCTACATGCATTTGGGACCATGGACCTTCCTACCTACTGAGATTCTTGGGCCAGAACCTGTCTGTAAGAACTGGAAGGTAAAAGGATACCCTACAAAACAATTATTTTGTCAACCTTTGAACCACCTTTGAGATCCAGATTTTGGACTGATGCTAGTGTCATCTGCTCTTCTATAGTTTACATCCATCTATGTTCATTTGGCTTAAGAATACTATTGCTTAATACTGTGCCCCTAGTGTTACTCTTTCTGTATTTTAAACAAACACAGGTATCGATCTATTCTCCAGCTGGTAAAGCCATGGTATGATGAGGTGAAGGATTATGCTTTCCCTTATCCTCAAGATTGCAATCCCAGATGCCCCATGCGATGTTATGGACCCATGTGCACCCATTACACACAGGTTGTATAAATTATTTTCCTCTATTCAAGATATACTCTCCACAGCTGAACTTTTCTATGATGTATCTATATGTCCCTCTCTCAAATAAATGTGTATATATATATTGTATATATATATATATATGTATATTTATTCTTTTCAATTTGGACTTCACCAATAATAAATATTTATTCAGATGGTTTGGGCCACTTCCAATCGTATAGGCTGCGCAATCCACACGTGCCACAATATGAACGTCTGGGGATCTGTTTGGCGACGAGCTGTTTACTTGGTATGCAACTATGCCCCAAAGTGAGTTACTTTCTTTTATTTTTGTTTATTTTTATATTTTGTGCATGTTTTGTTCCCCTCATTGGACTGCTTAATCTTTTTTCTGCAGCATGACCTCTATTTGTGCCTTTGATTCAGGCTGTTCCTTTATTCAAACTTTTCATCTGAACATACAGAAATGTATGACTTCAGTGTACAAGAAAGAAAAGGAATCAACTTGATGTGTACGAACCAAAACCAAAACCTTGTTTTCTGTTGTTGCTGTTTATATTATTGTAAAAACTTTGTCTTCCTTCTTTGCCTGACTCCACTTTACTTTGAATTCCCTATTTCTTCACTCTTTTATATATATACACATAGTGAACTAGACTTCCTCAGGGAAGCAATTCCTCTCTATATCAGGCATTTGATTTACCGAAAGGTGGGCCTGTGCGAACCTCATGAAGTTCAGTAAGGCCAGATGCACCTGGGTTGAGGCAATCCCAAGCACAAATACGGGCTGAGTAGAGAATGAATTGAGAGCACCCCTGAGGAGAAGGACTTGTGAGTGTTTGTGGATGAAAAGCTCAATATGACTCAGCAAGGCATGCTTGCAGCCCAGAAAGCCAACCATATCCTGGGCCGCATCAAAAGAGGCATGACCAGCAGGTCAAGGGAGGTGATTCTCCCCTCTACTCTGTTCTCCACCTGGAGTGCTGCATCCAGCTCTGGGGTCCTCAGGACAATAAAGATGTGGATCTATTAGAGCAGGTCCACAGGAAAACCACTAAGTTGATCACGGGGCTGGAACACCTCTCTTATGAAGATAGGCTGAGAGAATTGGGGCTGTTCAGCCTGAAGAAGAGAAAGCTCCAGGGAGACCTTGTATCAGTCTTCCAGTACCTGAATGGGGCTTGCAAGAAGTCTGAAGAGAGACTTATCACTAGGGCATGTAGTGATAGGACAAGAGGAAATGCCCTTAAGCTGAAGGAGGACAGGTTTAGGTTAGGTATTAGGAAGAAATTCTTTACTATAAGGGTGGTGAGGCACTGGGACAGATTGCCCAGAGAGGTTGTGGGCTCCCCATCGCTGGAGCTATTCAAGATGGGGCTCTGATCAACCTGGTTTAGTGAAGGGTTCCCTGCCCATGGCAGTGGGATTGGAACTAGATGAACTTTAAGGTCACTTCCAACCCAAACCATTCTATGATTCATGAACAGTGAATCCTGTTGTTGTCCACAGGATACCTTTGCTTATGACCATGCTGCATAATGGCATCCATAACACTGGTTCCACATAAAGTCCATCAACCTAAGGCCCATGTCTACAAATCCATCTCATCTTGCCTTCCATATTAGGGTCTGTTAAAGTACAGGTCATAGACACAAATAGGCGGCCCTATATCCAGTAGCTTGCAGAGGTCTCTGTTAGGTTGAAATGAAGAAATTAATTTTCTCCCAGCATTTCCTAGACGTCATCCCAAGCTTACTCTGGGTGCAGAATGAGTCAGTAAAGTATAGCGCTGAGACATGTTCGATTTGCGGTCTGGCTTGGACCATTATTTCAAAAGTAGCATGGACAGTGTTAAGTGACTGGTTTCTCTGACTGTATACTAGGCAAAGACATAGTTCTGTATAGGAATCTAAGTATAATTAATTGAGCATGTTTTCCATAAACTCTCGGTGGCACAGGTCCATTTGTGGTAAAGACTATGCAAGAATATGTCATTATTCTAGCTGTTATGTGAGTAAAAGAATTTTTAAAGATTTTGCAAGATAGGATTTAGTAAGAAAACTTACTTGGGGAAAAAACAGCTTTAGAAATCCAGGAGATTTCTCTGTCCTTTTCTTTTTAATATTTACTAGAAAAGGATGATAAGAAATGAGTGTGAGGGAGCAAAGATTAGGCAGCAAAAACTGTATCTGACTTCTAGTTCTGCAGTATGGACAAGGTGAAATCAAAGTTTACAAGAAAAACCCAAATATTATTTGAAAAAAATATTAAAAATTGCAAACTTGGTAGAATACTTCTCTCATTTTCATATATAGGAGGAAAATGGTTTTATACACTAGATATTATTGAAAGCTGATGCATTGTTGTGTATCAGTTACCAATGAATTATGAAATTTTGTATTTTGTAAGTCTAAAAATCCCACTGTTTCTCAAACACCAAACCAAAGCCTGGAGTTATGAGTTTTTTCTCGAGGTGAGATTGTGAATAGACCTTTAATTCATAAGTAGTGGAATAGTGATTTTCACATCTACTTCTTGCAAAGTCACAAAAATTATATTGAGTGGTCTTGCCGGGATTAAGTTTGTATTTCTAAGATTTAATTAGCTTGAGTTAAGGACATTGGGCTAAGAGTCCTTGATCACACACACATAGGTCTCTTTGCCAGTCAGTAGTTTGTGTTCGAGTAACCAGCACATCAGAAACTCCTCTACAGAATAATGGAGTGAATATTGCAGCCCCAACCTGAGTTACTAAGATTGGAATTTGGCAAAGACTTAGGATTTAGAACTCAAGTAATTTTCACTGATGCCGTGCTGTAACACTTAAAAATATTTGTGCTTCCGAAATGAGGGGGGGAAAAATAAAGTTAAGGAGGATAATTGCAAAGTTTAGAAAGGCCCTGCCCCAGTTTATCTAGCAGTCTGACACAAATCAGCCATGTGTTGTGTAGAAAATGAAGCAGAAATCAGTTTTCAGCAAATTCTTTCTGGATTTCCATATCTGTTATCAAGCTAAATATATTTCCTGAGCACTTAATCTGCTGTACCCATTTGGAAGAGAAGTAGGAATGAGCAAATTATTTGAGATTCCTACTGTCTTCCAAGGCACAGCCCAGACCAGGGCTTTTGATCCAGTGTTATTGGCTGGGAGGTGGGGGCTGACAAAATGTTTCATAAATAATTGCATTACTCACTGCTATTCCACGTCATATGCAAACTAAAGGAAAGTTCTCTGCTCTGTGAGACATAACATTTAAATAAAAATCTAATTTTAACTTTCTGCCTACAATCATGAGTGTTGCATGAATTTCTAAAAGCTTGTGGTTTATATAAACTCCTTAAAGTCTGGATGCGTTTTTCAGATGTTCATGGATGTTTCAGAGTTACCTCTTTTCATATCATCACTTTCCAGACTTTTTACCCCTTTCCCCCTAGGGTATACTACACAGCTCTGTTCACCAGACAGGAGTCCTTCTCCTTTCATTAACATCTATGAAACCCTTGGAAATACCCAAATTCAGTTCTTTTTAATACATTACTGGTGCAAATAGTTTTTATCTTCTCTTTTCTTGAACAATGAATTCAGCATCAGACCTTCACAGTGTGGACCTAGGGTAGTGCAACCTAAGAGTAAGATTTAACTAGTTTGTTTTTCTGTCTTCCAAGTACAGGTTTTTAAGATAACTGCTAGACAAAAAGGTGCTCAAGGAAAACCTTGCACTAATGCTTATTTTGCTAATTTTTCATAAATATAGCCCTCCAGTAAAAAATACTCTTGCCCCAGGATCAGAGAATCAAAAATCGCTTGGCTGTAGCAAAAACAAAGTCTGGGACTTCACCACAGAGATGAAAGGACATGGCATGGATGTCACTGACTTTGGTTGACATGGTCATTCTCCTGCTGTTTTTTGGTTTGCTTCTCAGTAAACTACAGAAATAAATTAATATCGTGATTTTAGTAACAGACAATTTATAGGATATCAATGAAGATGTGAACTTTAGTTACTCAAAACGAGTATGTTTAATGATTTTTTTTCTTCCACTCTGAAATTACTAAGTATTCTTTTTCTTTTTTTTGTTTACAGGGGGAACTGGATTGGAGAAGCACCATATAAAGTAGGAGTCCCATGTTCAGCTTGTCCTCCAAGCTATGGAGGTTCTTGTACCGACAATCTTTGTTTCCCAGGAGTAACATCAAACTACTTATACTGGTTTAAATAAGTTAAGGTTTACATTATTTTGAAGAAAGCCCACAGATAAGTAACAAGAACCTTGTATATTGAATTTTGCACATATTATATATAGAGAGATATTGTAATAATACTCTGATGTTTTCTTTTTGTATACTGTTGTATAATTAACTTTCAAAGTATAGTATAATTTGGTTTTAACACTTTGGGATTTAAGACTCACATTATCCCTTTTAGATTAGCCTTTGTTAAAGGAGAGAAAATTTTCACCTTAGCAAGTGTAGCTTCCTGAAGGTTAGTTTATATTAAAAACACATCAAAATATAGAATATTACTTCATTTTTAAAAATAATAGCTCCAGAAAGAGAAGGGTCATTGTTTAATACTGTGCTTTAAAAATGGAGTGTGACATGCAAAGCAACAAATGGTCCTCACACTCCCAGTGATTCCTCCCATTTACACCTGTGCTTCCACCTGCACTGTCAATGGGACACTGAGCAGACAGATACATATGTGCAAGAGAAACTGCAGGTTATTACCTACCTCATGCACAGCATCAATTGGTTTATTGTGTTTCAAGAGTTCAGCACATGGCTGCTGCTATCATCAACAATGTCTGTGTGCAGACAGGAATATTAGGGAGAATGGGGAACCACATTGGCCAAGATGCAGTAGCTGTTAACTCACAAGCTTAAAGTCTTATCTAGATAGAAAGCTACATAATTTTAAATATACTGGCATAAGAGCTCAGCTTGAATCTACATTCTTGTATTTCTGAACACAGTCGTAATGCTTATAATGGTGCTTTGCAGGAGTATATTTATTCTTGTACAGAAAAGCAAGGAAATATATTGCTACAAAGCAACATCCATCAATACATGACATCCATACTGTTTTTTACACTATCAGTTTGCCAGTATATATGTTATCCCCCCGACTGAAACATAGTCAAGAACCAGGAAAGATCAGACCTAAAAGTAGATAAGAAGATTTGTAAATAAAAGTCATCAGGAAATTTTAAAAGTTCATATAAATTTCTTACAAAAATTCCAAATTTCTAAAGCAATTGGCAGTGTCCTTTAAAATATATTTTGCTGTTTCCTGAAAATATCTGTGTGAATTATTAAAAACCAAATCTGCCAAAAGCTTTCCTCCCAAAAATTGAACACCTTATGGGTGCTTGCTAGAATATTTATAAAGAGGGTCTACACATCAAGCTAGAATATCATACAGGTACTTGACTAGAAAAACAGATTATGGAAAGGAAGAAATCAAATACCAGCTACAACTACTCTGTCATTGAAATAGCCTTGAGTTTTGGGTTTACATTACAGGGCAGAATGCACTCCACTTTAAATATACATGTTTAGTAGCATGTAGCATGTTTACTGCTTGCATTGCTACATTTAGACCTCTGAAATTTATGAACTTTGAAAAGCAATACTGAGTAGAACAAGTGGAACAACAGAAGGTAATTTCACTAGTGCTAACAATGTATGCATCTTTAAGTCACTAATTCAGTCTTTTGAGGGTATTCGAAACAGTCTGTTTCCAGAGTAGGGAGTAACATATTGGTGATACAAAAGAAAGATCAGAGTCTGAATTCTTCACATTAGTTATTCTTTTTCTCAAGCAAGATATCTGGGATGGGGGGAACAGGCTGTATAGTGTATGAAATGTAGCAGCCCCTCTCTGTCTGTCCATAATCTGATCCTTCAGAGAACGTCAGCAGCTGAGCTATGGCTCTTCAGACATTTCTGGTTAGTGACACTTCTGTATCTGACAGGGCATTAACTAGACAGGTATATTGCCTTTCAATGTGTCCACGTGGTAAAAGAATAACACTTCTAATATTCTACTAACATTTATCTTAACAGTTACAATATAAACATTTTTCCTTATGTTTTCAAAGGGGTTTGGACTTGGACAGTGCTCAATCAGCCGAGTACTTTGGCTGAGTAAAATCCAGTCCTGTTTCAGGAGTGAAAGAAAACCTCTTTGTATCATCTAGGTACACACTGAAATAATTCAGTGAAACAGAACTACTTGGTGGGTCACTAGCCCTCAGACAGCACAATTTTTGACAAAATGCATGTGACAAATGCATTTTTGTTCTGCATGAGGAATCTTCTATAGAGGTAAAGACAGCACAGTTAAAACAGTGCATCTAGCCATTTTTCAGTATTTTTATTTTTTTCTTTTTAAAGATACAAAATAGGAAGCAGAGCATAAGAAAAAGTTCAGGTTAAGCCGTGGAGCCTACAACACTAGGTCTAACAATAAATGACTACGCACTTTGAAACTTGCAACTTGCATGTTGTACGGTACACTTTCCAAGCAGGACTAGACATTGTAAATTAATTTATAATTCTGTAATTCAGCTGAAATTATTATCACGGGTATATATGTTATCGTATCTGTTACTTTTTAAGTTGCTACAAATACCTTGATTTTGTGTAATATTTTGTTTTCTGTGGATATAGAAAACTTTGCTTTTAACAAACAGGTATGCAGGTTTGTCACAACATCCCATAATGGTGCTAGGAATTAACTATCATAAATCACACTGTAGTTGACAGCAGCAAAAAATATTTTGGGTATAAGCTATTTCATACGAGCAGCTCCTGATAAAACCAGTCACAAGCACTCAAGCATTAACTTAATATTTTTCATTGAACAGAGGGGATTACAGCTCATCAGATATTTGATTAACACATGAAATTTCACCTTCCACTTTAAAGAAGGCAGCCTTTCTGTATTGCCTATTTGAATTGCCCCAATTTATATTATCTTTTTTTCTCTTGGGCCAGGTAATGACAATGCCAGTAAAGCTCTACTTTGATTGTCAGTGCCACTGCTGCCTGATTGACTACCTGACACCAAGTGCTGCTACAGAAAAAGTACTGAAATGTGCAGAAGACTTCAGTTGTCTTTGGCAGCTCTAATACACGCTGAGAAAAATGCTTGATGAGTTCAAGGCCATGCTAGGCAAACTACCCCAGCAGCTATTCTGATGGCCCTGAAGTACTAATTTCTTCTCAGCAGAGGGGTGTGCCTTTAAAGACAGAGAAATTAGCTCTGACTTCTGTTCTGAATGTAAAATTATAAAAGTATATACAAACTAAACGCAAAAAATATTTTTGGTCAAATACTGTGAGAGGCATAAGAGTAAAAAATGGAGTAATTGATATAGTTAATTACTGAGTGCAGCTGTTTATGATATCTACTTGTGACTTTCTGCCTCATTTAAACATCTAAGATGATGGGTAGCAATTGATACCTTTTGGTGCTAACCTCTATGTTCTGGTGCTGAAGTTACAGATATTTGTTTTTTCGTGGAAGATGGGATTCTCTTCCAATATTACCATATGCACTCCAGTGTTTGTGAGATCTTTTTCAGCTAAGCATATAATTTACCACTAGGCCAGATTTGCTTTCGAAGTTCCTTTTTGTGGTTGTTTCAGGCTCTAATAAGAGTTTTATGTGCATCAGATAGGAAAATGTATTCAAGTTCAAAACCAAAACAAACAACACTCTCCCCTCATCACAACAGGAAAGTGCCTGTGGAACAAATTATTGAGAGAGTAAGACCTCTGACAGTCATGACTTCATATTGATGCTGAACAAGTTTTAGTGATTCCAGATCCTCTCTGTGGAAAATAAATGACTTCAGAAAATCTGGGCTTGACTTTGGACACTTATCCTTGGGATCTGTTCTCTGAGATCAGTTTGTTTCCCTATGAATTTTAGATGAGTTGGATCAGGTCTCAGTGAAAACCATAGAAGGTTTAATATAACTTTTGCAGGAATTAAAAAGTTGGATTCCATGAGAGCTTTATGAACAGCAAAATTAGACTTCGTGTACCATCTGCTATCAACATTGGAAAATACCATGAGGCTCTGAAAGAGGAAACTTCCCAGGGCACAAGTGATGTGTACCTCAGCTGTGACCTAACAGAACAAAATATAGCTGTATCTATATTCATGTCTATGTCTATAGATAGATGGATAGATACATCGATAGATCTGTTGATATAGTCTCTCCGAGGACCAGGTTGAAAGCATGGATGCCCTCTTGTGGTTGACGATGCTGCTATGTCGGCTTGATTACATTGGAATCCAAGAGGTTTTAGGATTTTTTAAAAACAAATGCAAATTTAAATCTTTTGGCCTTGATTTTAAAGACACATGACTTAGTGTGTCTGTTTCCTTTGAGAAATGAGGTGCAGTGCATAACTCCTGCATTTCTTAGCTTTATGTGTTTTGTAAGTACAGAACTCAATCACAGTTGTACTTGCTGTCGGTTTCCTATTGTACAAAGTTTTATGACTATGAGGTAAAACAGAGGTATTCAGATATCAGAAGAATTTTTAGAAGCATTAAATCAGATATAGTTCTTAAAAAATAGGGTGTGGAAACCCTCATTACGCAGATACTAAATTATAACAGTCCCTAATAAAATTTTAAAGGCCCAAATTACTGTTCCAATCTTCCAATAATTGCTGAGTTTTCAAGACAAAACTCTTGTTTTCCTTTTCTAGAATGAAATGATCTTGGAATCCAAGCACACAGCATTTTTATGGTGCTTTTTAAAACAGTGCAAAATAGAAAATTTTTATGCTCTGATTCTCAGCTCATACATTGGTTTGATGGTCTCAAAGTGCACAAACCTTGTTTAAATTCATAAGTAGAATGTTGAACTTCTGACAATAGTAGCCTTAAATAACAACAGCCTTCTCAGACTGCCTTCTTTCAATAGGAAATAATTGAAAAATCAGGAAAAAAAAAAGCAATGACCCATCTGATTAATTCAACAGATGGGCAACAGCCTATCTGGTTGATTCAAAAAATGATAAACAAAATTGATTACTATTGGTAATTTTAATACTTCCTTGCTGCTTATCCTTCATTTACCAAGTTTCCCTCAGGATAGAGTTATTTTCTTTTAGAGAAGATTTTTTTGCTCATATTACAAGACAATACATTTTTAAATTGACACAAGCCAGTGGAACTTTTGATTGTTATCCACACTCTGCAGAGCCCTTCTGAGTGTGATGTGTGAGAAATCCAGATTGAAATGGTTGCAACTGAGTATTATCTCCTTGTCTTCTCCTGAAAGACAAAATTCAGAGTGAAAAATGATTTTGGCATATTATAATTTGGTAATCAGATTGGAAATTCTTTAAAATCCCTCATACTGACAAATTCTTATAAATTATTATCAGGGTTGTTTTGGCCAGCAGGAAAGTGGGGGAATATCTCTCAGGTTACATGTTTAGCTCACAAAAGCAATTGTCATTCAAATTGCTGGGCTGTTCATCACGCTGCTAACTCACTACAGCTTCAATAGATCATCATATAAGTCAGGAAGTATCTCAGATGTGATGTTTAAAGTAATAAAATTGTTCCTTAAGAGTGAATGGTAATAT